ATTAATTTAAATGAAAATTTACAGGACTTTGGATTCCATTAATTCATTGTTGAACTTTTCTCCCTGCCCACCCTTCCCCCCCGTACACTCTTCTCTTTGAAAAGTAAAAGAAAAATTCTTTCATTGTTTTACAATCCTTCCCCCCCAGATCCACTTCACTATGCAGCCTTCGTTCTGGACTTCTGTCACGGCAAAAATACCTACACACATATCCCTTTTAAACAGTTTTCTCCTTCACATTTGTTTCAATGCAGTATACATTATTTATTCCACCTTTCTCAGTCTCCCCCAACACCGATGTCAGTCCTGTTTTACAAGAGTGGCACCATGCAATATTTGTCCTTCTGTGACTGAGATGCTTCACTCAGCATAATGTCCTCCAGGGTCACCTGTTTTGAATAGTGTTTCATGAGTTCCTTGTTTTTCAATGCAGCATAGTATTCCATTGTGTGAATATACTACAGCTTCTCTATCCATTTGTTTGTTGATGGGCACTTAGGTTATTTCCACCTCCTTGCTATTGTGAACAAAGCCACAGTAAACATGGGTGTGCATATATCTGCTTGGGTGGCAGTTATGGTCTCTTTGGAGTATATTCCCAGTAATGGAATTGCTGGGTCAAATGGTATATCTATTTGCAACTTTTTGAGAAAGCGCCTCACTGCCTTCACAGTGGTTGCACCATTTTACACTTCCGCCAATAGTGAGTAAGGGTTCCAGTCTCTCTACAACCTCACCAGCATTTTTTGCTTGCTGTTCTATTAAATTTTGCTATTCTGACTGGGGTGAGATGAAATCTCATAGTTGTTTTGGGTTCAGATCTTTTGTTCATAGGGTTGCTATGAGTTATACTTTACTTGATGGCATTTAACAACAATGATGTTCACTGTGGGTTACTTCTAAAAATTTTAAATTTCTGTAGTGCCAAATGCTTATCTTGAAAGTGTGTTGTATTTTGCTAACGTCTTTTCTGCATCAACTGAGATTATCATTTAATGTTTAGTCTTTATTACTGTGTTATGTTGATGTTCACCTGTTGACATACTTTTGTGTTCCTGGGGTAAATCACATTTGCTAGTGGGCAAACTCTTCCTGTGTGATTCAACAGCCTTAGAAACTCAGTGGAGGTCAGCTGTTTGTCTGTTTTGACTTGACAGGAGTGAGTGAGTGAGAATGATTCTCTTAATTTTAATTCTTTTAATATGTTGCTGAGTTTAATTTGCTAGTATTTATCTTTTATAAGTGAAGCAACTCTGGTGACCTAATGGCAAGGAGCTGTGCTGTAATTCCAAAGGTACACAGTTCAAGGCCACCAGCTGCTCCTCAGGAGAAGGAGGAGCAATCTCCTCCTGTGCGATTAACTACCTCTGAAAACCCTCTGGAGGGCCATTTTCTGACTCTCCAGGATACAACAACAACAACAACATCAACAAAATCACAAGTGATGTTTCTCTGTTGTTTTCTCTTGATGTCTTTGGTCTTGGTAGTATGATACTGCTGGCCACATAGAATGACTTAGGAAGTGTTCCTTCCTCTTCTTTAGGAGAATTTTGAGACTATTTCTTTAAATAGTAGGCAAAATTCACCAGTGAAGCTGTCTGGACCTGACTTTTCAGTATAGGAAGGTTTTTTATTACGGCTCAGATTTTCTATTACTTCTTTGGTTTTGTTTGTTTGTTTTACCAGAAAGTTTTATTTCACCCTTATTTTGCCATGAATTCATAGAGAATAGGTTCCAGCAGCTCGGGCTCTTTCCCATTCATTCTCACAAAGTGTGCCTCTTTGGAGGGCGCAGTCTGGTGCTTCAGCTGGATCCGAGTGCCTTTCCCCTTGGATTCTTTCTGTTTCTGATAATTTCCTTTCACACTTTTCAGGAAGCTGGCTCTGTTCTTAGAGTGCTTAATATGTTCAATGTGCATGCTCATTCTCTGGCAAGAATCTTACCCTTAACTTGTTTGTTCACAGCAGTGTCAACAGCACACCGGGTAACATTGTAGATTTTTGCTATGGTAACATTTGTGAGGGCTTCCTTTTTGAACAGTACCCATTCTCTTGATGTCTACAGTATCTCCTTTCTTGTAGATTCCTATATAAGTGACCAAAGGAACAACTCCATATTTTCTAAAGGGCCCAGAAAACACATAGCGGGTGCTCTTCCTCTTTCCCTTTGTGTTCATCATTTTGGAGGATCACTGCAAGATGGCATTTCCTGCCAGAAGGGCCGTTCTATTACTTCTTGACTCAGTTTGGTTGATTACATATTTCAAAGAATTCGTCCATTTCATCTAGGTTGTCTGATTTGTTGGCATGCAGTTGGCTTTGATTGGTCCTTACTCATGGTCATGTTCTGCGTGTGTCAAAGTAGAGTTTTGCTTCATAGGACTTTCAGTTACTGATGTAACAGAAACAAATCCCCAAGCCATTCTTGTGAATGGACTTGAACTGCCAGCCTTTTGGTTAGCAGCCAAATATATGAGCTATTTACACCACACAAAAAAACCTTAGTGATTTGTTTATTTCCTTAGGTCAATGTTAATGTTCCTACTTTTATTTATCATTTTAGTGGTTTTTCTCTCCTTTTGTTTGTAAATTTAGCTAAAGGTTTATAAACTATTATTAATGTGTTAAATATATAATTACTTTGGATAGTGTAAATTTCATCCCCCCCCATTTATTTAAGTCTTTTATTTTTTTCTTGTAGTTGTGTGTTATAGTTTTCTTTGTGGGATTTTGTGTGTGTGTATGTCTAGTTAGGTTTATTCCCAACTAGCTCAATTTGTGGTAGGCTGTTTAAGTAGTATTGTTTTCTTAGTTTCCTTATCTGTGTTTTCTTTGATACTGTAGAGGAATCTCACTGATTTTGGGATATTAATCTTGTGTCCTTCCACTCTACTAACTTGGTCTACTAGCTCTTACAGTTTTTTTGTTGAGTCCTTGAGTTTTCGGTGTATTCTATCATATCATCTGCTTATAGTGACAGTTTTACCACCACTTTACCTATCTGGAAACTCCCTATTTCCTTTTCTTGTTGTATTGCCCTAGCAAGTACTTGCAATACAATATTGAATAGAAATGGTGAAAGTGAACATCCCTGTTATTATCTTAGTGAAGTCTTCTCGGGTGAAATATGCCCCTTCATTCTACTTCTTCAGTCTCCCTAATCTTTTTATTGTCCTGCATGATTCTTCCCCAGGACATTTATCACTAGTATTTTTGTTTTAATGGTTTTCTCTTATTATCTCAATCTCTCTATTAATTTGTTTATTAGGATGAAAGTTTTTATCTGTTTTGTTTAATGATGTATCCCTAGCATGAGAAAATAGTCTAATACATTTTTTGTTTTATTAAGGAAGCCCTGGTTGCCTAGTGGTAAAGAGCTGTGCCATCAACCCAAAAGCAGGTGGTTCAAATCCACCAGCTTCTTCATGGACATTCTCCACCCATGTGATTTACTGCTTCTGGAGAACCCAGTAGAGGGTCATTATATTTAGGCTAAATTGATAAATAACATTGTCTCTGGAGAGTAAACCTGGTAGTTGGGGAACAGAGTTGAAAGGAGATATTTTACTGTATATTTTTCTGTATGTGGAAAAAAAGAGGATCTAATAATAAAGAAAACACAGATTCTTACTAATGGGCCAATTGGCAGCATCATGATAGATGGTGAAGAGATTGAGATTGTTAACAGCTTTAGTTTGCTTGGTTTCACAATCAACACTCTTGGTACCAGAAGCCAGGAAATCATGAGATGAATTGCCTTGGAAAAGTCGGCTGTCAGGGACCTCTCCAAAGTACTGAGGAGCAACAGTGTCAGTCTGGAGATTAAGTTGCACCTGATTCAGGCCATGGTCTTTGCAATTACATGCTATACATTAGCAAGCTGGACAATAACTAGGAATGATAGAAGGAGAATTGATGCTTTTGAGTTGTGATGCTGGTTAAGAGTACTGAATATGCCATAGACTGCGAAGAGAACAAACTGGTTCACCCTAGAGTGGGTAAGACCAGGCTGCTCTTTGGAGACAAGGATTCTGAAGCTTTGTCTAACATACTTTAGGCATGTTGCAAGGAGGGAACCAGTCCTTGGAGAGGGACTTCGTACTTGGGAGGCTGGAGAGACAGTGCAAGAAAAAAAGACCCTGGATGAAATGTTGGCTCAGTCAGTGACTTAGATAATGGGGTGAATGTGTCAAGATACAATAAGGTTGGCTCAGGATAGAGCAGGGTTCAGAGCTGTTGTACTTTGGATCACTGTGAGTTGCAAGCAATTTAACAGAACATAACAGCAGCAATAATACGTACTTGGTTAAATTTTATTCATTGTTGACTGACTCTTTATGCTAAAGAAAGCAAAGCAATTCAGAAGTGGAAACAATGACAACAGTCTACTAGATGACAGTTAAGTATATTCATTAAACAATACCTTTCTTAAAAAAGTATTGTGTATGAATGCACATGACTGTGATCTCATTAATTTACTTGTGTGATTGCAATTTGATTATTTTTTCCTTTTCATTAACAATTTTTAAAATTAACTTTTTTAAAAAATCAACAATGAACTCATAAAACGCTACACAACATGGATGATCCTAGGGAACAATATATGTTGTTTTAGATCTTTAAAATTTTGAGTCGTCTAGATATATTGTCTACTAAATGTACCTAAAATCAGGATACAATTCCCCCACACACACACTCCTTAGTCAAGCAATCTCTTATACACAGTAGTTTTTCTTAAATATGTAAAAATTATAGCCATAACTCAAATTTACCAGAAGTTGTATTTGGATGCAATCCAGTAGCTGCTTCCTGATGTCTTTGCTGACTGGTTGACAGGCATAAACCATGCTGGATTTACATTTAGGCTTTTATACGAGAGAATTCTCAGTACTAAAATTGAACATTGGAGCAAGTGTTATATCTCCCCAACCTAGACTCTTTGCAGATATAAAGTAAGAGAACATAAATCTGCAACAATAAATTTGCTTTTTCTGATCCAGGGTCAAGGAGATGGTTCCTCCAAGGCCTCCACTTACCCGTCGCACAGGAGGCGCTCAGAAGGCAAGTGCCAGAGCCCTGAGGTGAAGCTGTAAGTAAGAGGCTGAGGAGGGTGCATTTAAACCCCAAGGCATGGACCCTCCAGTATTTTTTCCTGGAGATGTGAGAAGTTGTTTGAAACTATACATATATTACTTCCTGATTCCATTGATGGCGCACAGTGAATAGCATACAGGATTTAATCTTTGCCTGGTAATTTCCAAGTTGGGAAGAAAAAAAATTTATACTTGAAGTATTATTGAGTATATAACTAGGCCCAGACTTTAATCCACAGTCCTGGCCTCCTTGAAGCCTCCTTAACAGCAAGCTTTTGTTGATCTCTCTTGTATTTTCCTAGGCGGTGACTGACTATCACATGCAGATCAAGAACATTTCACGAGCCATTCTGGATGAGTACCACAGGATGTTTGGGAAAGAAGTGGCCAGACTGGACAATGAAATAGATAGTGAAACCCTAGAGGAGCAGAAGTGCCAACTCAACTATGAACTTAATTCTTCTGGAAAATACTTTGCTTTTAAAGAACGACTCAAGGCAAAACATTTATTTAATTTTTATATGATTTTCTATTGAGCACCTTCTTTATTTGTCTTCTTTACCTCACCCTTTGATTGAATCCAGCTATACTCACCTTTATTATTTGTGTAAAGGACTAAATTATCTTTCATATAATGTCAAACAAAGCTCTACTCCTGCAGGGTCTTGGATGGTTCTGTATCCATTAAATATGAGATCTGTAGAAACTTAGGATTAGGCCCAGTTCTGCTCTTACTCATTCACCCATTGCCATCGAGTGAGTCAGAACTAATAGCTGATTCTCCAGTGGTTTTCCATGGCAGTAAATGGCACAGAATGAAAGTTCCCATATTTCTCCCATCGAGCCAGCAGTGGTTTTGAACCACCAGAGGGGCCCAGCCTTTGAGTTGGCAACACAACTTTCCAGGCCCCCAAAGCTCCTCTGTATCTGGTAACTGACTGTGTGACTTACTGTCTCTATTTCTTATTGCAAGGCTTTCCCCTAATCTATGTTGTTGCTGCTATTAGATGTCATCAAGTTGACTCTAAATCACAGTATAACAGATGGCAAAATTGTCCAATCCTGCCCTCATGCTCACTGTCTCCATGTTCAAGCCCATCATTGAAGTCATGTGTCAATCCATCTCAGTAAGTGTGGTCTTCTCTTTTACTGTCCCTTCACTTTTCAAAAAATGATGACTTTTCCCAAGGCCTACCCACTCCTGAAAATATGTCCAGAGTGTATGAGACTCTAAGGAACTTCCTGGTTTTACCTTCCAAAGGAGATTTGTTTATACTTTTTAAATCCATGGTATATTCTCTATTCTTTGTGAGCATCATGACTCAAACACATTCGTTCTTCTTAAATCTTCCTTATTCATTGTCCAGCTGTCACATCCATATGTAGCAATTGAAATAACCGTATCTTGGACTCAGGCACATCCTTGTCTTTACGCTGACATCTCTGCTCTTTAGAACTTAGTAGATATCCTGGGCAGCATATTTGATGACTGTAATAACGTTGTTTGATTTCTTGACTCCCACTGCCATGAGTGTTGACTGTGGATCCAAGTAAAAAGAAATCATTGACAACTTCAAACTTTATCTATCATGATATTACCTATTGATTTAAATCTGAGGATTTTTATTTTCTTGATGTTAAGGTGTAATCCACACTGAAGATTTTATGTAGTCTTTGATTTTCATAAGTAAATGCTTTACTGTTCACTTAAGTCAACAAAGTTCTATCAGTGGCTTAATGCAAGCTGTTGATGAATTGTCCTCCAAACCTGGTGGTATGTTTTTCTTCATATAGTCTAGTTTCTCAGATTATTTTCTCAATATAACTTCCAGAATCACAGCAACATGCAAGCCATGAGAGTTTGACAAACTCACATATGAATGGTGATCCCTAGTTCATGTTGTTATTATGTACCATCAAGTTGCCTGTAACTCATAGTGACCTTATGTTCAGTGGCTCTGAACCCTGCCCTGTCATGAGCTGATTTCATTGTCTCCAACACAGCTACCCCCATTACCCCAGTCACTGAGTCAATCTATCTCATCCAGGGTCTTTCTCTCTTGTGTTGTCCCTCTACCTTCCAAGCATGACTGGCCTCTCCTGGCAACATGCCAAAAATATGTGAAATGGAGCTTCAAATTCCTTGCCTCCAAGGAGCAGCTCAGTTTCACCCTCTCCAGGACAGACCTATTTGTTCACTTAGCAGTCCGTAGAATGTTCACAACTCTTCTCAGCACCACAACTCAATGGCACTGATTCTTCTCCTGTTATTCTTAGTCATTGTTCAGCTCTCTGATGCATAGCAACTAATTATGAAGACCATGGCCTGGATCAGGCACATCTTAGTCTCTAGACTGAGATCATTAGTTTGCAGTATTGAGGAGAGGTCCCTGAGAGCATCTCTCAAAGGCATCTCTCAAAGCGGGAACAAGCCCTTGAAAGCTCTGACAGGCGTGGTCTTGGACGGAAGTGAGGATTGGGGACGGGCGTTTCTCAC